CGCTATGAGTCGCAAGCGACTCAACGGCACATAACAACAACAACAACAAACAATGAAACCCAAGAAAGAATAGATGATGGGACTGTCTAAGAATTAATCCCTATGTTCATCAAAAACTTTCCTAACTAGGTAAAAAGGAAAGCCCCAGAATGGAAAAAATATTTGGTAATGACATATCTGACAAGGAATTCATATCTAAAATTTATAGAATACTCAGGCACCTCAACAAGAAAAAGATAATCAACCCACTCTGAAAATGGGCACAGGATATGAACAGACACTTCACACACACACAAAAAAGACATTCAGATAGCAAACAAACACATGAAGAAATGTTCAAAATTCCTAGGTCAAGTTTTACATAAGCACAATCAAGTAGGTGTTCTGGAATTCCCATGCTGTTCAATGTTAGCCACAGTTTGATGTGACCCACACAGTCAAATGCCTTTGGATAGTCAATGAATCACAAGTAGACTCCTTCTGGTACTGTCTGCTCTTAGCCAAGATCCATCTGACATCAGCAATGATATCCCTAGTGCTTAGTGCAACAATGCAATAGTGACATACCTATTTATCTGTTGGGCCTGTCCCCTTCCTTTCATATGCAAGCTCATTAAGAAGATTTGTCGTGTCTTGCAGCATCTAGACCAATGCCTGACACTGAGCAGGTGCTTGGTAAATTTAAACCAAGCGAAGGAGTACACTGAAAATAAGGTATTTGAAGATCCAGGAAAGTAGTGAGCAAGTGAGAATGGAATTAAGATCTGAGGAACTACAAAGATAGACTTTCCTTCCCTGCTTCTTCTGGATGGGTCACTCCGATCAAATTACTACATCAGTTTGAACCACAAAGATTTGGGCCTTGTTGGCACAGAGTTCGTGTTTATGTAGGCTTGGCCCTCCTTTTTCACGCCTCTTAATTTCCTACTGTCTGCTTGCACACCTTACCTTGTCTAGTGTAGGAAGGTATTCTCAGATATTCTCTAGAAAGTCTGTTGAAGTGAAACAAGGGGTCTGACCCAGGACATGCACACAGAGATCAGGTGCTGAAGCTGAGCCCCACAGGTAGGTGAGCATGTGGTGGGGCCCCAGGAGGCCGGACCTGGCGGGGCGGGGCAGAGCTGGACAGGCCAATCCCGGGCTGCCCAAGAATGGGAGCTGAGGCAGCCAGCACAAGGGCCTCCTGGCTGTCAGTGCATACAGCTACCTGTCTGTCCTCCTGTCTGAAGCCATGGCAAAGCTGATTGCGCTCACTCTCCTGGGGCTGGGACTGGGATTCTTCAGGGATTATCGGTCGTCTTTCCAGTAAGTAAGGTTGTGATGACAACTTATTGCCATCTCCAACTCATTAGCCCCGATTGCCGCCAAAAGGGGAACCTAGACTCTGAACAGAAAACCTACAGGCAGATTGGATGCACAGCTCACAAGGACTGTCCACTTTTCATGTGCCACTTAAATATACGTCCTTGCTCACAGTCTGAAAGAGTAAGGAGACCTCGGTGGTCAGTGCTTTGAGCGGACAAATTGTGAGCATATCCATGTAACTTTTCATAGATAACCAGATTGGGCACCAGATACAGGCAAAGGACCCCCAAACGTTGCTACTTGGTCCTGGCAGACAACAAGCACTTCTTGGAGAGCCTCATGTTGCGGCCTCCAGGAGGCAGCGAGATAGCTTTCGCGTGGACTGTGGCAGATGCATGCACATGTGTCTATGGTGTGGCTTCATCTTGGAATGGAGGTGCAGGTACACTGATAAGATCCCCCGCCTGGCATTAGATGCCCTGGGTTCCAGCCTCTGACTCTTCTTGTGCATCTTGGGCCAATCACTGCACTTTTTAAAAATTAGTTGTTAATTGCCCTCAAATCAGTTCTGACTCTTCCTGTTCCTATCCTGTTTTGATTTTTCATGAACTTAAGCGTGACAGCATTTAACTGCTTCACCAAACAAGAGTACTACTGTGTACTCATATATGAAACGAGTAGCACAGTGCCGGGTTACATAAAACACATTCAATAAAATATTAGTTCTCTCCTTCTCTTAAAGTGCTCTATAAACTGTTATTAGACAAGGAAAATAAGTATGTTTAAAAAGATTAGCTGTGATTTTGTTGAAACTTTTTACAAGGTTCAAAGTCTTGTGATCATACTACCCTCTAAGGCCAAAACAACAATATTTTCTTATTTACTCTGAAGTAAAACATTAATCAAAAGGAAATTGAACAATTTTTGTTTTTCTAAATTAGGTAACCCTCTAGACTGATGTAAAGCTTGCATTCAGAAGAATTTATTGATTTTAAAAAAAGTATTCATTCCTCTCTCCTATCCATTGTTTTTGAATTTACTAAATGTTAAAGGAATTTCAAGAAAAAGAAGTTGATGGCAATTTGGATTTCTAAAACATGTAAAAATGGAAGTTTGTGAGTTTTCTTTAGTCATTTCCTACTAAAGGGTCTTTTGTTGTTTTGTTTGCCACAGCATATGTGCGGCTGTGGTATTAACCTGGGATAAAAGGAAATGAGATATTGTAATTACTCAACACCTGATCTACACATTTTGTGCCTAAGTTCTCCGTTTCATCTGCACCTGGACTTGACCTGGCCTTTCACTCCAGTTGCCCTACATTACACTACCTTCCAAAGGATACAGCAGATCTGCCCGAAAGGAACTAAAATCCCTCTTTAATTTTATTATTCCTTGCTTTATTCTAAGAATGATGACTATAGGCATGTTTAGTATTTTTGTGTAGAAATGCAGATTTACCGTCCCTGTCTTTAAAAGCTTCTCTCTCAATAATGAGGTCTTATGAGCCCATATTTAAAAAATCAGTGTTTTTCTACATTTGTTCATTTTTTAAAAATTAATTTCAATAAACATTTACAGAGATTTTGGCTTTCCATTAATTCATTGTTGCACTTCTGCTCCCTACCCACCCCACCCCCACCCCCGGTTTGCTCTTCTCTTTGAAAAGTAAAATTCCTTCATTGGTCCACAATCCCCCCACACCCTCTCCCCGACCCTGAGTATACTCCACTCTGCAACCTTCATTATGAACTCTTATGATAATCATAATGCCCTAAAATATATTGCTTTTAGACTGTTCTCTCCCTCATTGGTTTCAATGCAGTATACATAAGTCATCCAGTTTTTCCCATTCTTACCCTAACCCTGATGTCAGTCCCATTCTACAACAGTGGCACTATGCAGTGTGTGTCCTTTTGTGACTGAGATATTTCACTCAGCATAATGTCCTCCAGGGTCACCCATTTTGAATAATATTGCATAAGTTCCTTGTTTTTCAATGCAGCATAGTATTCCATTGTGTGAATATACCACAGCTTCTCTATCCATTCATTTGTTGATGGGCACTTGGGTTGTTTCCAACTCTTTGCTATTGTGAACAAAGCCGCGATAAACATGGGTGTGCACATATCTGCTTCGATGTCAGTTATAGTCTCTTTGGGGTATATTCCCAGTAGTGGAATTGCTGGGTCAAATGGTATCTCTATTTGCAACTTTTTGAGAAAGCGCCACCCCGCTTTCCACAGTGGTTGCACCATTAAAAAAATATTTATTTTACATTGATTTGCATACAAAATTTGTATACCTTTGTCTCACACTATCCTTTGCTCAAATTGTGTTTCATACAATCATTCCCATTCATTATGTTTTATAAAATTAATCATCATTGAACTCTACACACCATCATCCTGTCTTTTCAGATCCCCGCAGATCTTTTCCATTTCCTTTACCCACCTCCTTCCACCAATCAAATTATGTGACCCTGTGATTTCTCCCCTGCCCATCCTCACCTCTCTGCTCCCATCCCTTCCTCCCTTGGACCCCCATACACGTTTGACTAGTTATCCTTCTGTTTTTGCAATAATGGTTTTGTGTAGTATTTCTTCTTATGAGACTGAGTTAGTTCACTCAGAATAATGTCCTCCAGTCTCTCCCAAGTTATATAATATTTTTTGAAATTGTTGCTTCTGAGTGCTGTGTAGTGTGTTCATTTCTTTTTCTATTTTGGATGATAATGCCAGATTCTGACTCATAGAATTGAACTGCCCCACTGGGTTTCCAAGCACTTACTGCAAGTTGACTGCCCTATCTTTTACCTTTAGAGAAGCTGGTGGTTTCAAATGGTAGACTTTTGGGTTAGCACTTGAGTGCTTTAATTACAGAGCTCCAAGGGCTCTTCATTGTTTGTACATGTTGTAGATTCAGCTCTGACTCCTCGCTACCCGGGTATAAGAGGATGAAGCTGCCCAAGCCTGTGCCATCCTCACTGTTGCTCTGGGCTTGAGCCCACTGATACAGCCGCTGTGTAATACATCTTTTTGAAGATCTTCATTTGTGTTCAGTAAATTTTCATGTTTAGAGCTCTCAATTGTTACCTTGTAGTCTGTATATTTTATCGTTGACATTGCTCTGATCTAGTGGTCTATTGACTACTTCTCACATTTGTTCTTTACTTCTTTTATCTTTAGCTTAGTGTTCACATGATGTTAATATGCTCAAGAATAAGAAGCTGTAGTGTGTGTGTGTGTGTGTGTGTGTGTGTGTGTGTGTAGCATATTTTTTATGCTCTGGCTTTGAGAATGATTGCCTGAAGTTATAAACATATTGAGTACAGATACATTATTCAAATTCTGCACTCAAGTCCAGTCTGTGGGGTAAGAATGAACAAATGAGTTAGAAACCCATCTGTAAGTAGGCCTAAAAATCAGTGTAATAACTTTGAACCACTTTATAATTTAACCCAAATTTCCAGTAGTAATTTAAGCTATCATCCAAGTTTGATTTCAATTTCTCACTGCGAATTTGCATTCCCATCCCTGATGTACTGAATCTACATTTCAACAAGATCCCAGGAGGTTTTTATACAAGTATTTGACCTGAAGATCCATAAGAATCACCTGATGAATCCTCTTGTTGAAATGTAGATTCTAATTCAGAGTATCTGGGATGGAACTGAAAAGGCTCACCAAGGGATCAAACTGGAATGAAAAGGTCCAAAGCTCTGGTTTCCACCCAGGACTTCTGACACAACTGTGAAACTATGCCTGCTCCTCCCAAAGTGAACAGGGGAGAGGATTCTGTGCATCTCTCTTGTGTATCCATACACCCTACTAAATAAAGAGAAAGTGCTTTACTCAGGTGACCCAGGTATCTTGCTCTAATAGAATTATCCAGGTTTCAGGATCCACTAACCATGAGGTGAAACCTAGGTGAAGTTAAAGACTTTATCGTCTGCATAGAGTGGAAACCTATTATGTTTTCTGCATAGCTTTATATCCTTTTTATTCCTTTCACCTTCCTTCCCCAGGAAACGACTTAATGCTGACCGAGAAGTGACACCAGTGGAACTTCCTAATTGCAATTTAGTTAAAGGAATAGGTATGTATGTGAGAGGAATTAGCATCTCATTTGTATTTGTGGTATTATCTTGACATTTGGGTGACGAATGCACTTGCTTCAATTTGTTAAGAATAAAACTTTGAACCAGAAGAGTATTATTAACTTAGAAAGTATTATTAACGACTGGCCATTGAGTTGATTCTGTCTCATAGCCATCAAATGTGTGTCATGGTAGAACTGTGTTTGTCAGTGACTGCTCTTTCCAAAGCAGATCACCAAGTCTGTCTTTCCAGGTGTTTCTAGCTGCTCTACTTCTGAAAAGTCAATCAGTGAAGCTGAGTTATAGAATGATATCAAGGATATCATCTATGAAGAAAGTAAAAGTTCATTACAAAGAAAGAAGAGAAAGGGGAAAAAACCAAAATGGATGTCAGAAGAGACTCTGAAAATTGCACTAGAGTTTCAAGAAGCCAAAACAAAGGGGAAACATGCCAAAGTAAAAGATCTAAACAGATTTCAAAGGGCAGCTCAAGAAGACAAAGCAAAGTATTATAATGGAATGTGCAGAGAGCTAGAATTGGAAAAGAAAAAGGGAAGAACTCGCTCTTCATTTCTCAAGCTGAGAGAACTGAAAAACAAATTTAAGCCTCGAGTTGCAATATTGCAAGATGCCATAGGCAATATATTGAATGCATCAAAAGAAGGTGAAGGAAATATTCCTAGTCACTGTACCAAAAAGAACTGCAACTGAAAAATTTCAGGAAATCCCATATGAGTAGGAGCCAGTGAAAGAAGAAGTTGAAGCGGCATCGAATGCTTTTGCATTAGCAAGAAATGTCTCCAGGAATCGATGTGATACCAGTTGGCTTTTTCAAGAAACAGATACAACCCTGGATGTACTCACTAGTCTATGCCAGGAAATTTGGAGGACATAGTTCTGGTAAATGGATTGGAAGAGGTCCATGTTTGCTCCAATTCCCAAGAAAGGTGACCCAACAGAGTATAGAAACTATTCAACAATATCATTAATATTACATGCCAGCAAAGTCCTGCTGGAGATCATTAAAAAATGGCTGGAACAGTACATAGAGAGGCGACTTCCAAAAATTCAGGCAGAATTTAGAAGAGGCCATGGCACTAGGGATATCATTGCTGATGTCTGATGGGTCTCAACTGAAAGAATACCGGAAGAATGTCTAGTAATGCTTTATTGGCAATACAAAGGCATTTCACTTTGTAGATCATAACAAGTTATTGCACGCACCTAATTGTGCTCATGTGAAACCTATACCTGATTGGAGTTACTGGTGAAAAACTAGACTCCAGAAATTGACAGAATATCAATTGAGGTGTTTCAACAAACAGCTACAGTGCTGGGCACACTCACTAGTCTATGCCAAAAAATTTGAGACAGTTAGCTGCCTAATCAACCAAACAAAAAAAGATGGGATAGATTTTATTTGTGATACAACAAAGTGTGAAAATTATTGGGTAGTATCATAAATGTCACTCCCTGGAGAGAGAAAACATATCTGGAAAGGCAGAATTCGGCGAAAGAGAGGAAGACCCTCAACTGGATGGATCGACCAGTGACAGCGGTAATGGGTTCAAGTGTGTTAGAAAGTGGGAGGATGGCACAGGCTAGGGCAGAGTTCAGGTTTATTGTTCATAGGGTCGCTGTGGGTTGTGCTCAACTTGACAACACCTAACAACAACAGCATCATTAATATCACAAGTTAAATTTTGTTGAAGATAACTCAAAACAGCTAGAACAAGTACCTACAGGTAGAACTGCCAGAAGTTCAAGCTGGATTCAGAAGAGGATACCAAATACATGATATTGCAGATGGCGGATGGATTTTGGCTGAAAAGAGAGAATATCAGAAAGATGTTGTCTGTGTTTTATTGGCCACACAAAGGCACTGAACTGTATGGATCATAACAATTTATCAATAACATTGTAAAGAGTAGGAATTCTCAAACACTTAACTGTGTTCATGTAGAACCTGTACATAGGCCAAGGAAACAGTAATGGGAACAGAAGGAATATTGTATGCTTTAAAATCCAAAAGATGTGTACAAGGGTTTTCACTTTTTATTATCCTTATTCAATCAGTATGCTGAGCAAATAATCTGAGTAGTTGGACTATATGAAAAAGATCATGATGTCAAGACTCATTAACAAGTGATGGTAGGAAGATGCTCACTGAAAATGAAGATTTGAGGTAAATATGGATTAAAGTAAAAAAAAATATAACTTTGTGTATGGGTAATGGTGCAATGTAAAGAAAATAAAAATCCTCACAACTGGACCAATAAATCATGATAAATGATGAAAAGATGAAGATGTCAATCATTTCATTTTACTTGGATCCACAATCAACACCCATGGAAACAACAATCAAGAAGCCAAATCTGTTGCAAATTCTCTCAAGTTGTTGTCCACCCAGCACAGATTCCTAGCTGACCCACCATTAGGTTTCTGATTTGTCTTTCTCCTGTGGAGACCCTCGTAGAGTTGAACTTCCAATGGATTTGACTGCCAGAGAGCTAGCACTTTTCAGCTTACTGTCAGAGACACATGACCATTGGGCTAGAAGCACAATTTCCTATGAACTATACCATCAGAGCTCCCTACTTCAAGGGAGAGCAAGGATTTCACTTTACGGACTAAAGTGTACTTCACCTAGACTATGGTATTCACCATCGCTTCTTATGTACTTTAAAATTTGATCATGAAAAATGAAAACAAAAGATAACTTGTACCTTTTGCATTGTGGTGTTGGAAGGCACTATTGACCACACTGTAGACTTCCAAAAGAATAAGCAAACGTGTCGTGGGGAAAATGCAACTATAATGCCCCGTAACAGTGAAGATGATGAGCGTTCAGGAGGAGCTGGTCCCAGGAGAAGGCCATTGCATTTTAATAAAGGTTCAATGAAAAAGTGGAAGATCCTCCCCAAGAGAAGTGGACACAGTGGTTGCAGCATTGGGCTTGAGTATTGTAAGAGTGGCACAGGGTAGGACAGTGTATTGTTCTTTTGTACATAGTGTCACTTCCAGTTAAAGCTGATGTAAACACATCTGACAACCATAACAACATATTGCTAATGTGTTCCTTTTGCTTGATAAGTTTTGCAAACACAATATGCAGACTTGTATTGGTGGTATCATTAGCTGAGGAAAGAGAAAAGAGATGAAAGGAAGGAAAGAGGATGGTAAGAAAACAAACATCATTGGTACCAGTAGTCAGGAAACTAGGAGATGTACTGCATTGGAGAAGTCCACTGTCAATGACCTCTTCAAAATAATGAAGAGTAATGATGTCAGTATGAAGATTAAGGTGAGTCTGGTTCAGGCCATGGTCTTCTCAGTTACCTATTATGCATCAGATAACCAAAAAATGAATAACTATGAGAGAAGAATCAATGCCTTTGAGTTGTGCTGGAGAAGAGTACTGACTATTCTATGGATTTCTAAAAGAACAAACAGATATATATCTTAGGAAAAAAAGGGTATCCAGGATGCTCCTTGGAGGCAAGGATGGTGGAGCTTTACTTTTCATACTCTGGATATGTAGCTACACAAGGCTATTCCTTGTAAGGGACATCATTCTTGGAAAGATGGAGGGTCAGTGAAGGAAAGGAAGATGCCCAATGATATGAATAGACACTGCGACTTCAGCAGTGGGCTCTAGTGTGTCAGAGGTGATGAGAATTACCCAGAAAATGGTTCAAGCTGTTCTTGATTTTTTTCGTGTGTGTACTGTCAAATTGGATCTGACTGGCACAGGAGGAGAGTGCCCCTCCTTCTCCAGCTGAGCATTTAGTGGATTCAAACCATGTACCTTTGGGATTGCCGTGCAGCTTCTTGCCACTAGGCCACCAGAGCTCCAGAGTTCTTAGGGTTATGCATCATACTCAACTCAACAGCACCTAACAACAACAACAACAATAAAGGGTGTATATCCTCTATTTAAAATTAAGTGTCTATAAACGTCTTTTTTTTTTTTTGCTTAAAAACATCATGGCTTTCTGTTCCATACAGGAGGAGGGGTGCTGAGGGTCGAGCCCATGGGGGCCACTTTGGTAAAGTCCCTGGTATCTTGCTGCATAGAGGAGCCTGGGGTGCGAGGAGATAAGCATTAAGGTTCCTTGGTTGATCATATAAACGTCTTTTAATTATTGTTGTTAAGTGCTTTCGAGTTAAGTACGACCCATAGCAACCCTATGAACAACAGATCTGAACCCTGTTAGTTGTTTTATTAATTATACTATTATCTTCTACTTCTCATAAAATCACATTAATAAATTTGAATAAAAATTGAAATATTGAATTATTCTAAACATATTAAAGAAGAGCTGAATCTTCGTCTTCATGTAAGGAATGATAAGGAAATAGGCCACCGCTGTTGTCTACAATAATCTATTCTGTTCTCTGCCCTGCAGATACTGGTTCTGAAGACTTAGAGATACTGCCTAATGGACTGGCTTTCATTAGCTCTGTGAGTATTTTCTGTCACCTGTTCTATAGAACCTTTTACAGACTGACAGCTTCAAATCTTTACTTTAAAATCCATTATTGTTGATTCTGACAGGGAAACCCCATGTGCTACTGAGTAGAGCTTCTCCCCCTTTTATGGAAGCAGATCATATGACCATTATTTATAGCGTTGTGGGATGGATTTGAGCTGCCAACTTTTAGGCTGGTGATGGTTGTTGTTGTCATCAGGGCTCATAAAGTGGGAACCAACCGATAGTTGTCCCTCCTGTGGGTTTTCAGAGGCAGTAATCCACATGGGAGTTGATTGCCCAACCTTCTCTCACAGAGCAGGGTGGTGGATTCCAACCTCAAACCTTTGCATTGAAAGCATAGTTCCTTACCACTAAACCACCAGAGCACCCTTGTAGGTTGGTGGCAGTTGTTGTTAAAACCATCAAATCAGACCCAAGCTATAGTTGACCTTCTAGTGGGATTTCAGAGGCAATAAATGTCATGAGAAGGGATTGCCCATCTTTCTTCCACATTGTAACTGGTGGATTTGAACCATGTATCTTTGTACTGAAGCTCAGTTCCTTACCACTAAGCCACCAGAGATCCCTTTTAGTTTAGAGGTTTCGCATAAACCAATTCTGCCACCCAGAGACCCTTAATTCAGACTTTGGGAATCTCAGAACTCTTAATTCTGCTTATGTAAAATCTATACCTAGATCAAGAAGCTGTTGTCCAAACCGAGCAAGGGAACAGTACAGGTTTTAAATCAGGAAAGGTATGAGTCAGGGATGTATCCTTTCTCCATACCTATTTTGTTTGTATGCTCAGCAAATAATTTGTGAAACTGGACTCTATGAAGGTGAATGTGACATCAAGATTGGAGAAAGACTCATCAATAACCTGTATTATTAAGATGACAAAACCTTGCTTGCTGCAAGTAAGGACCTGAAATGCTAGCTGCAGAAGATCAAAAATTACAGCCTTCAATATGGGTTACATCTCCCATTAATAAACAAAGATTCTCATTATGGGGTCAACAGACAACATTCTGATACATGGAGAAATGATTGAAGCTGTTAATTATTTCATCCTCCTTGAATTTAACAATCAACATTCTTGGTTCTAGCAGTCAGGAGATGAGGAGACTTATTGCATTGGGCACATCTGCTGCCAGAGACCTCTTCAAAAGACCTAAAAGCAATGATATCAGCTTGAAGACTAAGGTGCACCTAATTCAGGCCTTGATCTTTTCAGTCATCTGCTATATATCTGCGAGCGGGACAATGAATAAGGATAACAGGAGAAGGACTTATCCCTTTGAGTTGTGGTGCTGGAGAAAAGTACTGATTAGCCTATGGACTCTCAAAAGAACAAATAGATACATCTTGGGAAGAGTGCAGCCAGAGTGCTCCTTAGAGGCAATGATGATGAAGTTCCATCTCTCATAATTTGGACATCTTGCTAGGAGAGGCTTTTCATATTTTGAAAGGTGGAGAATAGGTGAGAGAAAGGCACCCAACAAGATGAGTGGACACAATGACTATAGGAGTGGGTTCCGGTTGTCAGAGACTGTGGGGATGGCACAGGATACCACAGGGTTCAGGTCTCTTGTTCATAGGATGACCGTGAATCCTACTTGACTCCATGACCTCTAACAACAACTATTTCAAGTAAAATAGGCAGCACATGGTTCAAATCAAATTATTCATTCACCACTAGGTGGTGACATCCAAGAAGGAAAAAAAGTCATGCTGGGAAGGGTGGAGGGTTAGAGAAAGGGGAGAAAGAAGATTCTCCAGAGGTTGGATTGGGGCAGTGACTGTTAACAGTGGTCTCGAGCAGAGAATAGGTCATGAAGAGGGCACAGGATAAGGCAAAGGTCCAATCTGTTGTTTACAAGATTGTTATGAGGTGTTGCAGGCTGGATGGCACCTGGCAATAACAGCACGTGGCATAGTTTGTAGAGACTATCTGTTCATTGTAAACCAGTGATTCTGGGAGAGAGCTGGGCAGTCTGTTCTGTTATTATTTACAGTTTCAGAAATCCAATGGATGGCCAGTGATAATTCAGTCTCGAGTCTATGGCAATCAAAGAGAGAATGTATGTGTTTAACAACTGTGATTGTGTGTGTTCTGTGTTCTCTTATAAATGCACAGAAATGTTAATTATAGAACAGAGCTCAGGTCCTCTTGCAAAGCTTACTGTGAGTCTTATTCGACTCAACAACACTTAACCATTGCTAAATGAGACTAGTGCTGTTATATCTGGAGGAATATTCTTCCACTTTGCACATCACTCTGTGTCAATGTGTTGTATGAAGTAACCTGGGTTTGCTGTGATGCTGAACCTTGTATCATGGGGATATCAAATACCAGAATGGTTTCCCATTGTGGACAGTGTTTGGTGGAGCTCCCAGTTGTAAAACAGCTTGGGAAATGGGAATAGCATCCACTTCCTAAACCACAAGCCTCTGGAAACTCTATGAACTTGGAAAAACAACGGTAGCTATGGAATGCATTAGGTCTTTGTTATTGTGAGTCGACCTTGACTTGATGACAATCATCATCAACAACAACAACAACAACATGTGTATTCTAGGGAGCGCTTGAGTCTTAGTGGCAAGGATTGTCGTATCAGCACAAAGGCTTGTGGTTTGAACGTTCTAGTTGCTCCAAGGGAGAAATATGGACAATCTCTTCCTCTGTGAGTCACTTGTCTCTGTAAACATTCAGAGGTCAGCTCTAAGTCAGTCAGACTTGAGGGTACTCAACAATACGTGTCCACTGGGAACTCTGGTGGTTTAGTAGTAAGGATTTGCGCTGCCAGGACAAACCCTCAAGGTTCGGTTCCACCAGCTGTTCTGTGAGAGATGGATGGGCAACTTCTTCCTGTGCAATTTGTCTCCCCTGGAAACTCACTTGAGGATCAGCAGCAGTTTATGAAGCGTGGCTTCTTGTTTAACTCATTATTTCTGATACAGCACATAATATACTCTCTAAATATTTGTTACATGTGTGTGTTTATATTTACTTTGTAGTTTCTTAGTGCTTAAATTTTTGTTTTTATACTTTTCAGAATAAGTCCTTAATTTAAAATTGTTGATAGGTCTTTCTCTCGTGTCCAAATCTTAAAGACAGAATTCAGCATGTGTGTTGCACATCTCCTGTATAAAAATTGCTATGATAAGTGAAATAGCCCCAAAGAAAATCAGCCAACAAGCTGGTGTAGGAATTTCTAACACAGCAGGGTTGACAGATACAATATACCAGTCACTCCGCCAGTTAAAAGCCTTTGGGTTTTTGCAGCTAATTTAGAGCAATTTTCTTTGATGAGGATGGAGAATCAATTAAAGCATTGTCTTGGAAACTTTTTTATAAAGTAACAATATGTATTTCAAGCAAAATATTATAGGAGAGTATGCCATATCAAGCAATATGTTGCTCTGGTTGACAGCCAAGAAAGGAGGTATTATCAATTAAAAAAATATAAAAAACAAGAAAGGAGGCATTATCAGAGATTATCAGACTCCCTTTACATCTTGTCTTCCTTTTATACTTATTTTTATATGTGGAACCAACTCACAGCTCCTGCTTAAACAGGTTTTCAGAAGCTGTAAATCGCCTGGGAGGAGATTGCCTATTTTTCTCTCTCAAAGCAGCTGGTGGACTTGAACCACATACCTTTGCCTTGACAGCACAACTCCTCACCACTAGGACACCAGAGCTTTTTCAGTACTGTGAAGGCACTAAAGGACGTGATATGAAAACCATAACCAAAGTTCTTTCTGAATTTCCTTGCACACATTACGGCAGGCTGTAAGTAAGTGCCTCTTTGGCTTGGAGATGTGTGTATGTAAATGATCAAATATTAATATCACCTGATCTTAATATAAAAACCAGCTAGAGCAGTACACAGACAGAGAACTTCCACAATTTAAGCTGGATTTAGAAGAGGCCACAGCACCAGGGATATCACTGATTGCAGTTGGGTCCTCACTGTTTTGCTATCTCCACTCTCCATAGATGATTTACTGCTTTCTAATGGATTGTTCGTTCTTGAGTCAGGTATAGAAAGATTGCATTCTTTCTTTGAACTGATTCACTGAAAGCTGAGAGTAGTTTGGTAATTAAAAAGGCAGGAAGGTTCTTCTTACTATCCAAGTCTCCTACTGCTGCTGCCACCCCAGCTAAATTCTCATCTTGACCTGCTTTGGCTTGTTTTTTCCTTTTATCTTCTTTTTTTAATGACATTTTTATTTTATACTGATTTACTTACAAAGTTTATATACATTGTTCTTCACACCAGATCTTTCCCATTTCCTTTACCCACCCCTATGTCCACCCATCAAATCATGTGACTCCATCTGCCCATCCTCACCCCTCTGCTCCCCGTCTCTTGGGTCCTCATACATGTTCTACAAATTATTAGGTCTTATACAGTATTTGTCCTATGGGACTTAGTTCACTTAGCATAATGCTCTCCAATCCCACCCAAGTTAGGTAGAGATTTACAAAATCATTGCTCCTACATGCTGTGTAGTATTCCATTGTGTGAATGTACCATAATTTCTCAATCCATTCGATAGTGGTTGTGCTGTGTCCATGTTCTTGCGACGTGAATAATGCTGCTGTGAACATTGATGTACAAATCTCTATTTGTTCTCACTCTCTCAGTTCTCACCCTCTCAGGGTATATTCTAAGCAGTGGAACAGCTGGGTCATATGGAATTTCTATGTTCAGCTTTCTGAGGAAATGCCAAACTGCCTTCCAAAGTGTTTTTCCATTTTTAATCTTCCTTATGATATTGAAGCCAAGGTTTGGTACAGATGTGGTTTGTTGAAATGTCCATTGGAAGGGCTTGTGCCCTTGTGAGGAGGCCTGGGGACATGTCTTCCTGAACTCTCCACAAGCCAGCCGCTCAGCTTCCTGTCAAGTCCTGTGACCAGCCCTGTGACCTGGGGCAGAAGAGGTGAACCTGTGTGGCATGCAACAGTCAGGTAACTTTTGTTTGTATATACTGTTTACTCTCTTTGGCCTTCGTAGGGATTAAAATATCCTGGAATAAAGAGCCTTGAACCTGACAAGCCTGGAAAAATCCTTCTGATGGACCTGAATGAGGAAGCCCCAACAGTGATGGAACTGAAGATCATTGGCAGTAATTTTGACTTGCCTTCATTTAATCCTCATGGGATCAGTACATTCACAGATAAAGGTAGTAATATTTAATGTTTGTTAAAACAAAACTAAATTTTAAAAATTCCATGAGTGAATATGTCTATCTACTCATTCAACCAAAATATCAATCAAACAGTTATTGCTGGTGAGCTAGAAATGGATCATATTTGAAATGTCATTGAGGTTTTTGAGGTTGTAAATGTCACGGGAGATTGTCCATCATTCTCCCAATTTGATGCGGGTAGATTTGAACCACCAGAGACATGGCTGTTGGGTAGGAAGTACAGCTTCCTATGGAATATGCCATCAGAGCTTCTGCAATCGAAGTATATTCATGAATAATATTTTAATTTTTGGTTTCAAATTTCTCCTACGTTACTAAAATATTTGATAAACACTTAATGTGTAAGAATGTGAGACTATTTAAGATTTGTGAAACACCTAATTTTTTAAATAACATTTACACAAGTCTGAGGGTTTTCTATAGTAATATGATTTACTAAAAATGATTTACATTTCTGAGTAAATCAAAGTAACTTGGTTTACTGGGAAAAGCAGAGGGTCAGTGAAAGAGAGGTAGACTCTTAACAAGATGAATTGATCCAGCAACTACCATTCTGACTTGAGTACAGCAGGGAGGGCAAGGGTGAAGTCTGATCTGTTGTTCGCAGGATCACTAAGAGTTGTGGTTGACTCAGTGGCATCTAAAAACAATAATGTGTTTTAGTCTGAGTTTTTATGAGTTGTTCATTTTAGACTATTTTATAGACCCAGGAATTTACAAGAATAGGGTTAGTTTTTCTCCCTCCAAATCTAAGGTTTCTACAAACAAAAGATCCAAGGCCAGAAATTTGTCCCTGATGGCTTCTCTCAGCCCCTCCTCTCCATGCCTCCCTGTCCATTAATGCCTCTGTGTGTCTTCAGACTGGTCCTCCAGAGTCAGAAACTCGCCAATGCTAGTTGCTGCACCCATCCCTTTTCTCTTCTTCCCATGTCCTCTTTCTTATTGTCTGTAATTTCCTTGATCCGTGCGTGAATTCTCAATCCTAGTTACACACAGAACCACTTGGGAAGTTTATAGAAGGCTGATGCCCAAACCTTAGTTCAAGGGGTTGTGGTTCCATTGCTCTGTTCATCTGGTTACAAGCGTTCCAGATGATTAAAATGTAAGGCCAAGGCCGAGAGCCACATCGGTAGCCACAGAGTCTATTTCCTCATCAGCCATTCCCTTCTTTATGGTCTTTGCTAGACTCTTCCATTGTGAGGGGCTGGAATCTTCTGCCCTCAGTCATGTCCAGAACAACCATGGCTGGGCTTGCTTTTGAGGAGAACAGTACCTCGTGTAGGGAATTTATTTATGTATTTGATCAGCTCTTTCATTTGATCCCTTTAAGAACAAGATACTTATATTTAGATAGCTCCCTTTTCTTCCGTTTAAACTCAAAATATAAAAAAATGATTTTTCTTATTTCCCCGACTCCTCTCATATGCCCATTCATCTGGTCTATTTTAATTTTTAAATATTTAAATTTTAAGTATAAAACATAGTATTTAATGTGCATATTTTTTAAAGAAAAAAGTGGTGCTATTACACAATGCTTTTATAAGTTGCTTTTGCATTAAACTTTCCATCAAGGATTTCTTCCACGACAGTGTATTCATTAGAGCCCCTTCACAATGCCTCTGTAGGATTCGGCCGTGTGGGAGTGCTGAAACATAGTCTATCTGCTGATGGATCTGCAGGTAGCTACCAACCTTATTCTTATTGCAAACAATGTCAAAATAAGCATTCTTGTGCATACTTCTTTTGTAAGTATTTCTTTAGGATACATTTCTAGAACCTGAATCTTCTAGGCTAAATACTTATTAAGGTTTTATTCCTCATTTCATTTGATTTCTACCTCTCATATCTCAGCCAACAACACCAGGATTATTTTATCCTTTTAAAATGCCTCTCTTTGCTTTTCATCTCCTTTCTAGTCAATGCCACCCTCCCAGTCCTGTTCCTACTCTTCACAAACCTGACTATTGCTGCAATCTTGGGTCTTGTTGCTCTTTGGCTCAAAGCCTTCCAATGAGTAAGTCTTGGATCCTTTGTCTTGAACCCTGTCAAGACTGCACCTCTCAGGGGTCTATCCTCACATCCTTTTTCACACTTCACATCCTGCTCCCTCCAGCATCTTTCCTGTTGAGTGGATGTGCTAAGGAGACTCCTGTCACGGGCCTTTCGCACAGTCTCTCCTCTCAGACATCCACACAGTGTGCTTCCTTTTTTCATTCTGGACTTTATTCTAATGGCCCCTCAATAGAGAGAACTTCTCTCACTTTCCTTAAGAAAACAACCCATTACTCTTGTTAAAGATGGTCCTGTTATTTTTTCTTTGTCATGCTTAAAATCAAACAGGGAGCTCTGGTGGCCTAGTGGAAGGAGTCGCACTGTCAATTAAAAAACGTGAGGTTTGAATCCACCAGCTGCTCTGTGGGAGGAAGATGGGCATTCTCTTCTCATGAGATGCACAGCCTCTGAAAACCTGCTGGAATGTCAGCTAGGAGCTGGCACCAACTTGTAACAACAGTAACGAGTGTTTAGTGAGTGGACTAAGAAAGAGCTTCCTTTCTTCCTTCTCTCACTGCCAGGTCTCTTCAAGTCAGTCTGCTAAATTTCGCATCATTCCCCTAGAGACTTCAAAGTCCTAATGGGTAGGGAGTTGCACTGCTCACACAGAGATGAGTGGTTCATACTCGCCAGCTGCTCCCACAAACAAAGCTGGGCAAGTTCCTCACAGGCAAATGACAGCCTGTGGAAGCTGGCTGGAGGGTCAGTTATGAGCGGGTCCCAGATCCATGGCAGTGACTGTGGCTTTTGCTTTTCAATGTGGTCATGGCAAAGGCTTCCCAAGAGTCACTGTTTCTGAAGACCATGGTCTGACTTCCCTTGACCATCCCATCTCACCTCCTTGACCCCTTAGACTGGCCCCCATCCTCTCTGTAGCTCACATTTACTCGTGGAAGCTGTTTTCCTTTGCAACTGTGTGCTGTGTGTACTTTTGTTGAATTTATCACCTTGCGCTGTGGAAGTGTCTACCGCCCGAGCCTGCCTCTTCAAGTTGGCATTTCCCTGATCATCTGTCCCTCTTAGCTCAGCTCTGCATCTCCCCAAGACTGGGCTGAATTAGACAAAACTTAACAAGCATTTTGGAGTTACAGTGTCAGAGCCGATCATTTTTAAGCTGAAGCGCTTTCACCCTGTGGAGCTTCGAGTTTTCAGAGACTGTCATTGGGTTGGGTTTGTTATTTTTTGCCCTTTAGCCACTTTTCTTTGCAGCAATCACAAATGCTCCCCTGCACAGAGAGATGAAAATATTCCATCTGCCTGACATCCTAAGTACTAGTTGGAGGTGGGAGGAAATTGCTTTGCTGACAGCTGAGAGCTCAGTTAATATTTCCATTTTTGTTTTTCATCTCCTCTCAGATAATACTGTGTACCTGCTGGTGGTGAACCATCCCTATTTTAAATCCACGGTGGAGTTGTTTAAATTTCAACAAGAAGAGAAATCTCTTTTGCATCTGAAAACCATCCGACATGAACTTATGCCTAAGTACTGTCACATTGTATTTTAATTCAGTGCCACTTTTAGGTTTTCCTTTTGAGTAGGGTAACCATGGCTGTTCAATTTTGCTTTTGATTATCACACACTCTCTGAATAGTCTTCTGCAGAAATCTATAAAGACTCAATCCCCCAAGAGACATAGTTTTCCATCCTTTTGTGGTACCCTTTTGACCTGCTACCAAGAAAAACTTTGATCTCACAAATCAGACTTAATATTTTCAACTCAAATTCAACACCTTGAGTTTGATTTCTTTCTTATTTCCTTAATATAGTTACAGTACATTTTTTTTTTAATTAGAAATCCACATCCAAGTAGAAACCTAGTGCAAGTAAGACCTTTCTGTACCACGTCTCCTCCTGTCTAGTTGCATAGTCTAGGAATAACAGAGCTGAAGTGATACTTGGCTTGTTCCTAGTCCCTCTGGGCCTATATGGAGGAAAGAAAAGATCCCAGATTCTGATCAACACAGACCCAATTTCATGTTCCCTTATCTATGGGAATTTGGTTTAAGAGGCTAGTGATAAATTTAAGATAATAATCTGACACCATCTTTCAAATCTATTTTTATTCCTAATTAGGGTTTAACACAAATCAAAACTAAGATTGCTCTTTAGAAGCAAGAATGGTGAAACTCACATATCTTGGGCATGCAGGGCCAGTTCTTGGGCTATGACTTCATGCTGGGAATGTCTGATGGTCAGAGAAAGAGAGGAAGCCCCCTAAGATGATGAGTTCGCACAGGGGCCTTAACAGTGAGTTCAAGCATGGTGGAGCTCGTGAGGATGGTGCCGGGTCAGGGTCTAGTTGTTGTTCACAGAGCTGCTGAGTCGTACTTGACTTGATGGCCCACAACCATAATAGCAATCATGACTTTCTCTAGAATCTCAGAGTCTGCATGCATCATTTATGCATGGCTTTAGACCAACTCAGTAAATCCAGATTTCTGTAAAACGGGTTGTTATTCATAGGATCACAACTAGCAAAACCCCTGGAACATAGCCTGTGCTCAGATGTAATAGCCGCCCTTCCTCTCCTTAACTGACGGTATTGAAGATGAGAAAACAGAGAGAGAATTCAAGTTCTTAGATGAAGGCCAGGGAGCTCTGGTGGCTTAGCAGATAGAAATTGCACTTCCAACCCAAGGGTGGTGGTTGTTGGGTGGCACTGAGTCAAAACCAACTCACAGATGACCCTCCAGTGGGTTTTCAGAGGCAGTAAACTGCATAAGAGGAGACTGCCTATTCTTCTGTTGAGCAGCTGGTAGATTTGGGTCTTTGCACTAGGCCGCCAGAGTTCAAATCCACTAGCTGCCATATAGGAAAAAGCTGAACAATTTCCACTCATGTGACTTACTGCCTCTGAAAACCTTTGAGCCACTTCTGTGAGCCCCAGTTTCCTCTCTGTACTTTGCAGGGGTTGTGGTTGTTGTTACGCAGCATCATGTTGGAAGTGACTCCTAGCTGACCCTCCAGTAGGCTTTCAAAGGTGGTTAATTGATTGTGGGGAGATTGCCCCGCAGGGGTAGCTATGGGGCAGTTCTGATTCAGTGATACACAATAACAACAGATGAAGGTCAGTCAGCTAATTAGTGACTGAATAAGAAACACAGCCCAGACCTTTCTTAGTCTGGGGTGAGTGAACTCTCTGATGGCAGCTATTGGTAGTGTTGTTGTTGTTATGTGCCGTTGAGTCGCCTGTGACTCATAGCGACCCTATTTACAACAGCCCTAAACTCCGCTCTATCCTGTGCCAATCGCATTGCCTCTGACACACCCATCCCGTTATCCCAGTCACTGAATCAATCCACCTCATAGAGGGCCTTCCTCTTCTGTGCTGTCCCTCCACCCTCCCAAGCATGATGTCCCTCTCCAAGGACCGGTCTCTCCTCACAACATGTCCAAAGTATGTTAGATGGAGCCTCAGAATCCTTGCCTCCAAGGAGCCACCCAGTTTAACCCTTTCCAGGACATTGGTAGGAAAGTTTTATTAATATATTCACTCAATAAATATGTGATTTATGTATTTGATGAGAGAATTATGTCACTAGATTCCAAGAGACTGTGCATAATATCAAGCTCTGAATCAGGAGACATTCCATAGAGTAGAGGAAACTGGCCTGAAAAAAACCAGCAGCTTGATCTTAAACTCTAAGCCTCCTCTAACCTATTTAAGCAGATTATTTTATTGGTTTTTACAAGTATCTTATCTATTAGGTTTTATTATTATACTCATTTATATTTTTTAAAGGTCAAGGCTTGGAGTGTTTAATTTGCCCTAGATAACACAACCAGTAAGCGATAGAGCTGGGATTTTAATTCTCATAGCTGGGAGCTAGTACTTTGAATTGCTATGGTATAGCGAAAACCTCTTTTATTGATGGCGCTATTTAATCCTGCAAATGTCTGGTTTATACAATTTCTTGGGGTTAATCTCATTTTTCTCTGGGCCAGTTGCAAAAATATTAGTCTTAGGCAGCATAGAATCAGACTGAAGATAGCCACAGTAATGTAGCAATTAACCCAAGGCTGAGTCAGGTGTTTTTATACCATTAATATCCATACTGTTCAACCTATTACTAATACAATTTAAGGAAGCTCTGCTGAGGTAGCCCATGGAGAGTTGCATTGGTAACCCAACGGCTTTGTCTCTCTGATGGTTCAAATCCACCAGTGACTCATCAGGAGAAAGATGGGCAATCTCCCCACAATGGATGAACCGCCTTTGAAAGCCTGCTGGACAGTCAGCTATGAGTCAGTTCCAATATGCGGGTGCATAACAACAACCACAACCCTTGCAAGGTACAGAGAGGAAACTGAGGCTCACAGAAGTGGCTCAAAGTTTAGTGATGTGGTATGATCTCAGCAACAATAACACACAGCATGGGACCTCAAATGGCTGTCCATCAAAAGGCAAAGCTCAGAACAATCCCACAAAACTCCCGTCTTGGTGAGACAAGCAAATGCTTGCAAAGCACACCAATTCTAGAAACAGAGAAGTTCAACAGGCCATTTTTTTGTATGTGCGTGTGTGCCTGTACAGACTAATCTTAAGTTCCTAGTCCTCCCACTGCTTTTTTTGCCCTTGTGATAACAGTGACTATCATTTACTGAGGGTGAGATGTATGAAATACAGAGCAGGTGTTGTCTCATCACCACCCCCATTGAAACGACAAATTAAGAGTCCAACTCTTGGTCTTCTACTAATGAGCTGTGTGACTTTGGGAAAATCAGTTAACCTCCCTTTACAGATGAGAAAACTGAGGCTCTATGAGCATATAGAACTTGCCCTAAGCCCCAGGCTGCATCAGAGCTGCTGTTTCAGCCATAACACTATTTGCAATAGAGCAAAGATAATTCTCTCCCAGATAATGGCCCGGGGAACTTCCATCACCTCAATCAGCAAGGAATGACTCACTTATGTGTTCAGTATTGTACCTATTAAAGCAGAAAAATAGACTAATATATCTTACATTCTCAGTAACAGAGAGAGACCATGAATCAGAAAATAAGCCAAGGCATCCTATTTCTCTGCATGTCCATGGACATTATACTGAATCCTGAAACTTCCTAGCCAGAAGTGACCCTGTAAGGCCAAACTTCCAGTCTATCATTCTCCTCTTACAAGAGAGGTAGCTAGGCACAAACACAAGAATTCATTTTTGTTAGGCCACATTAACTATTTGTTAGGTGCTGTCATGCTGACCAAGATTCAGGGCAACCCTTTGAATAACAGATGTGAGTCCTGCCCTGTCCAGAACTGTGCGCGCCACCCTCACAATCTCGGTCGTGCTAAAGCCCAGTTTCAGTCACTGTGTCAATCCACTGAGAATCTGCCTGCCTTTGCTGCCCTTCTACTTTTTCTAGCTACTAGATGTTAGGTGCCCTCAAGCCTATTACGTGTCATAATAACCTTAGGAACCTTGCTGTGTTCTGCACCATCGCAACGGTCTGCACTGTGCACCAGCCCATTGTTACAATGACTGTGTCAAACTACCATATTGAACCTTCCTGGTTTTCTCTGATCCTCCACTTTCTACAGCAGAATGATTTTGTTCTAAGGATTGGTCTTCCCTGATGACATACATGTGAGACATTTTCACCATCATTTCCCCAAGGGAGCTCTCTGGATGCCACTTACACCAAGACAGACATGTTTGCTCTTTCGTTTTCACTAATAGGAGCCTTCACTGAATTACAAGTCGTGTGTGTGTGTGTGTGTGTGTGTGTTGTTTTGTCGTTGCTTGTTTTTTATGATGTCTTAAATGCTCCGGAGTCTGTCCCAAATGATTGCAGATGAATCTGACCCTGATAATGATTCCTAGCTTAATTTAAATTCTACTGTATTTAGCGTATCTGGACACAAAAAACACTAGGAATAGTATTTTTAAAAAAATACACCAAATAGGATTTTTATGTCACATTGCTATAATAATCTCTTGGGATCTCTTAGAACAGTTCTTGGGGATTATGTAGGTAGACCTGATCTCGTATTAATTTTAGGCCACAACAGCTGTGGAAAGGCTCCATCCCATATCTTGATCTTCATACATTCACAAACACCATTTCATTACCCTGTAATGTACACTACCTTTACCTGTGTACCCTGTGTGTCTTTTAATTGCAGTTTAAATGATCTTGTTGCTGTGGGACCAGAGCAATTTTATGCTACAAATGACCACTATTTTGTTGAGCCCTACTTACGGTCCTGGGAGATGTATTTGGGTTTAGCGTGGTCGTACATTGTTTACTACAGTCCCGATGACGTTCGTGTTGTGGCAGACAAGTATGATTTTGCTAATGGAATCAGCCTTTCACCTGATGGCAAGTATGTAAATCTTTTAATAAAAAAACAATGCATTTCCCTACATTCTCAATTGTTATCATACATCTATCTCTTTTTTAACTAATGAAAGTAAATACCTTGATATTATTTTTTCTATTCTATTCTATTCTATTCTATTCTATTCTATTCTATTC